CCGCCGAAACGTCAGCAATTGTGTTCTAATAAATTCTATATTAACAACCTCGTGCCTGCTTATTGATGAAAAACATTGAATTATCAATTAATGCCGAGGTTAACAGAAAGTCGGTCATGGGAATTATTAAGTTAGTGTTTCTGTCATTTCAGACAAATTTTGCTTCAGCTTGCCCATCACGAAGGGATGGAAAGCGTAATGAGCTCGGGGCATTGGATTAAACTAGTAGCCACCAAACCCGTTGCGTGCTGTAGGCCCCCCCCAACCAGTGCGCCACATGTTCCTTGTTAGCACAGGCATGCATAGTAATTAACAGTTTATTGGTCGTACAGTAACCTATAACCTTTTTGCAACATTGGCAGTTGCAGAATAGGGGAACTCGGTGTAAAAAAGATACTGATTTTCGCAATATGTGGTTTCAGTCGCGTTAAAAACCGCGTGCAAAGATTATCGATGATCAGGAAAACCATGGCTCACCTATTTTTACCTGTTTTAGTGTTAACAGCAATTCTGACAAAACGTTGGATTACAATGTTTTTGTCGATCAGGTATTCAGTGCCCTGCCAGAAGAGCAAACTAAGTATAGAATTTGATAAGTCGCCACAGTGATCAGCGTAACCAAGTATGATTAGTTCCTCGTTAATCGAGACCCTGAGTGTGGAGTGAGACGCATCGTGGCGTTGAGCACCACAGCTCCTTAACCCTGTCCATCCAGAATTGCAAGGTTCGAGCTTTAGGTAAACAACAAGCCATTCATTATCTTGCAACTGCTATTTCCTTGATGGAGAATTCTTTTGTAAACATGCTTTTCTAAATTCAATGGCTCACCCAATTATACAGTTTATAGTAGTCTGGCCGGTCTTGATAATTCAAAGTACGCAGATAATTTGCAATTGAAATAAATTCACCTGGACATTCCTGAAATTTTAAAGCGTAATTTAGGCGCATTTCTTCTCTCCACGGTTATGGCAACAAACCTTGAATACATTCTCATCTGATTCATTTTCTTTTATTTTAACGATTTCCTTCTCGACAGTTAAATGATTCCACGGTAATCCCACATACAACTCAGTAAGCATGTAAAGCATAGCCCAAAGATCGTCGACACGACCCTACAAGAACAACTGAAAATTTCCCTGAAAGCTCCAAAATTGCAAGCGTCATCTCAATCATTTATGAACTCGATCACTTAATTTTGGAATTTGCATCTTTCTAAGCTTTCGAACAATAAAGGTTTTTAAAAACTTTTTCAATTTTAGAGTATTTCAGTTCCTTTACTCAACGAGAGCACTTTTCCTCTATCGAATCTCTTCTCGATCCACAAAAGAAGGCATGTGCCTGCAATGACGACGTGGGAATGCTCTAGTAAGTCTACCTAAATCTTTCACGGAAAAGTTTCTTGACAACCATTCCGGTACGTTGGGGCCACTCGTGAGCGCGAATGATCCAGGTGCAATTTGTGTTGAATAAATTAGACATTTTGGTTAATTCAAATAAATGTTGATATACACAATTAGAGGGACGCGTGTGGCGCAATGGTCGGAGGCGTCCTGCTAACTTCGAAAAATCAAAACCATGTCCGTTCAAGCACTCCCTGTATAGTGGTCAAAACTATTATTAGGCTTGATGATTCAACCCGCATCTCGGCTGTATAGAAGACCACCGAAGGAACCGCTGAGTCAAGAATACATCCGCGAAATTTTGAGTATGTCAGCCACTCAGTGGTTTCCGTGAAAAATGCACCCACACTCTTCCTTTTGTCTTGCACAGTATTCAGCATGATCATGCAAAGTAAACCAAGTAATCAAAATTGGGGTATAATTGCACAGATTACTCTGATCACCATTGTTACGAAAAGTGTACTTAGGTTTGATTCCACTGAAAGGAGTTCACCTGTCAACTCAGACTCGCAATTTGTATATCGAAGAGACACTATCACAAAACTTATTTGCAATAGAATTCATATAATGACGCGATTCAGTGATCGTACATTGATTCTTCCAATGGGGTCACAGCGAAGGACATTAGTGAACATCCGTTTTTATACTATTTTTGAGCTGCCGCTGACAGTTTTTCTTTCTCTTTCGTTGCATTTTTGCTTACAAGGATCTTCTTCAGTTATCGCGTATTGTTTGACGTGTATACGTTGTTATCGCATCTAGACAAAAAACTCCGGACCACAGGTGTCTACTGTGGAGACACTTTTGCAAATATCGCGGTTGCACTGTGGTTGCATTTCACATCATGCTCTGCCATGAAGAAAGAAGGGGAAGTAAATAAAAAGTGACTATGTTGTCATTTATACTACGGGTTCAGCTTAACTGTGTTCAATGCCTACGGTGTTCAATGCCGATTTGTCCTCTCCATATTCCGTCGATGGGTGATAGCTGATAACAGCTATGGGTTAAAACAAGACTGGGAGAAATGCGAAACGAAGAACCCGCATGTTGTGATGGTGAACGCGTTAGCACTCGAAAAGAGTAGCAGGAATTTCGATCCCTACCATAGACACCTGCGGTTGGGAGCTTTGCAAATATCTCAGCATCATTGTGGTTATATTTTACATCATATCCTGCCATCAAAAGAGAGTAGGCAGTGAATAAAAGCTGACCAAATTGTGAAAGATTGAAGTCTGTTGTATACAATTATCGCGGCACTCAGAAAATATGTGGGATTATGAATAATCTGGTTCAAATCTTCATCGAGTAATGTTTTTAGGCTCCAAATGGTGCATCAGCTGTCACCCAAGAAGTTAAGCAATTCTAAGAGTGATGTTGAGCTACAACCGAGGCTATGGTTTCATAAATGATGCCCGTGTGTCAACACATTTAAAAGATTAGGTACCTTTTTAACACAATAAAATGCAATCATTCTTTTCTTTCAAGAGCCATTTGCCGAAAAATTCGTAACCCGAGAAAAGTTGACAGTACCTGCTCTAGACGTCTATGCACACCAAGTGAACAATATCGTAGTGTACCGCGTAACAGCACATTCTTACGAGGTTTCCTCATTGAGATTCCTTTAGGATCACGCACAACGAAGTTTCGCACCATGCCTTAATTTACACCCTTAAAATATTGCAGTAGTTAATGTGAAACGGAAAAAGCACCAGACTTGTTTTAGGGGTGTTTCATCGATTCACTGTTAGTCGACATTCACTCATTTTTCCACGAGATAAAAGGATGTCGGTCACAATCAAGTGAGTGAAATTTGCATTTATTTATTTTAGGTAGTAAAACAAGGCCTAAAAAAGCTTGCCATAATCAATGAGAAAAATAATCCGTCGATCTCGCCCATTTGCACCATTCATCATATTGCCAGGCTTCACATCGCGATGTACGAACCCGATTTCATGTAACTAAAATAATGCTGTGAAGCCTTGAAGTTTCTCTTTAAGAAACCACTACTGCTGCGTGTAGACACATATAAGCAGGGGTGCTAACTTCGCCATGTTAGCGTAAGCATCAGGGCTACTTTTTCTTCTTCGTTTGTTCAACAACTTAACCGATTTTTGGCTTTTCCTTATCATGGAGGTCAGAAAACACCTGTTTGATTCCGTAGAGTGCATAGATGCCTATGCGAAGTATTGTATTTTCGCTTAAGCCCTCCTGTGCCTTTTTCTTCAATGACATCAAATCCGAACCGCATATCGTTATAACAATGAAGCTTAATAAATAAGAATCATTGCTGGAAGAAAAAGATCTTAGAGACAATTTTCGAGCGGAAAATTGCCAGTTCTCACCTGTACTTTAAGCGCTTTCCAGATTGCAGCAATCTTATGACATTTTTCCGATCGGCTAATTTTTTTAAAACTGCAGCTTCGAGCTTGAGAACACCACTATCATTTTCAAGTATTGCCTCGGCCTGAATCACATGGAGATTCATAAAAGGAAATTTTCGAGATATGTTCAGTTTTTGGGAACCATATCGAGACCTTAAGAGCGGCTATATAACCCTTTCTTTGCGTATCTTCAACCTTGTAGACACTTCCGCATCCACCGGTACCCAGCCTAGCCAACACTTTCCATCGACCGCAAATTATCTATAAAAATAGGATATTAACAAATGGAATATGGTTTTTTCTATTATGTGGTAGGCTCGTTGCTGTTTGCAATCACCATTGTGTTTGACATTACCTTTCCATTAGCGAAGGTCACTATTTCGGCCATAGCTGTCGCTTCTGTCAAGGCGACTTGATTTCGGCCTTCTTATGGTGAGTACAAGTAGAAATGAACATAAGTCGAGTAAGCTGACACTTCTTCGAGTTAATGATGATAAAGAGCTTACTATATGCGCAATCTCATAGTGGCAAACATGTGGTATCACTGAATTTATCAAGGCTGTGGTAAGGAATGCATCAATTTGGACGATTCGGTGTCTTCATCCTCTTGGAAGGCGCACTGGTCCTAGTCGATTGTCCACAACTGTTTGTCCTCGTGATGTGGATCTTCGTAGTCGCGAAACAAATCTTCCTGAGTGGAGTACCGCTCGAGCAAAATGACCTCACTCGGCAGCGACCTTTTATAGAGTATGATTGCCGATCTATTGCAATCCTATATGATCTGCTGATATGCTTTCATGGTGACGGCGCTCCACTCAATGAAATTCGACTCGATGCAGCAGCAGAGACCCATATCATGAGGTCGCACGGCCGTACGCAAACGTGTCGAATTAACCGGACCTTAAAAAAAGCGAAAACGTGAAGACCCTACCTACTGGAATAAATGTTTGTAACAACCTCCTGTTGGCTTATCTATCTCACTTACTTACTTGAACGGCTTGCCCTCACTAGTTGTGCGGACCCCAGCATATTCTCCATTTTTCGGAGTTTTGCTTGTTTAGCTATTGTGTTTCCCTGGAGTCCCGCCGTCTGCAAGCATACGTTCCGCTTGACTAATGTCTGGTGTTATAAGGACGATGTTATCAGCAAAGTGTATATGGTGACATTGCCGACCATTGATTTTCACTCGCATGTGGTCTCACTCCAATGTTTGCATGACGTTCTTGAGGGTTGCGGTGAATAATTTTGACGAGATGGTATCTCTTGTCCACCTCTTTTATATACTGCTCCTTCACGTGTGGGACAAAAAGTTCGAGGATGGCATTACAGAGTCGTTCGACACGTTTATATAACGGCGGTAACGCCGAAGGACTCCATCACGTCGGCGCTTTTAGGGCGCGCTTGAAGTAGACGATCCAGGAAAATCTCTATGTATGGGAAATTGGCTGAAATGAGTTTCAATAAGTGCGTATGTATTAGGTTTAAAAACCATGCTATTCTAAATGTTGGTGTACTATTGAACAGTATTGTACTAGAGTCCCCCTAATGGTTTACCGCCTCATCGTGGCTGGAAGGTGCGGTGTCAAGCTGCGATGTATCGTCGGATATCTATTTTCCCAGCAGGGTCTCCCAAGCTGAGAAAGAGTCCGGTGTTTCCATCAGGAAGCCTAGCTAGGAGTAAGCCAATACCAGAATCCATCATCGCCCTGGTATCAAAGTCGCATGGTGGTAAATCTTTCCCTGATCCACAAGGGTGACGACTGCCTGTGGTGGTGACGACCTGGGACAGACTTTGTCCTGGCTGACCCTGGCGTTCTAGGGAAGCACAATGACCAAACCATCAAAACTCTCCGAAAAACGAAAATTATGCTGAGGCTCGCACAACCAGTGGAGACGGGCTATCCAAGTATCCAAATATTACACTACAGTACTAGTAATACTGTACTAGAGCGAGTGTAGCGCAGTTGTTAGGGACGCCCTGCAATACACGTGATATTGATCCCGCGCCCCAAGCTCACAAAGCGTTCTATCCATCTGGGGAAGGCCGATTAGTACCAAACATGTATGAGGGTAATAGAACTGACTAGATACATCAGTAGGTTACCAGGAGTCACTGTATAAGCCGGATACACATTCAATCTCCTCTATTGGTGTTTAATAATGTTGAATAGATTGCACATCTCTCAGGAATTGAGCGATGCAGAGCTTTATCCTTTCCACGGATATTCCTCATAGAGGACTCTCATGCTCGTTAATAGCGAGGCAACGTGACGTGTCTCGAGGTATCAGTGATAACCGCGGACCAAAAGCTAGCTTTACTTCCTAGGGGGCGCGGATAATCTATGGAATGGACTTCTGTTTCTGCTGCGATGATTTGGCACATACTTTCTATATTTACAAGGTGAATTCATGCATGTGTGCGTGAATGTTTTCTGGTTTGCGCGGATTGCACTCTATGAGTTAATTCGGCAAAAATCCTAAAATCAAATAATAGGGGAGCATATGAAGTGGTTAGCGTTCGCCTCCAGCCAACAAGCCCAAAGTCCACTCTGGGAGAGTCTGGCAAACTACCCGTGAGTATATCTAGCCTCCACGTTCAGAGCTCAGCAAGTTATACGTAGATTTCAAAAAGCTAAATACAGTAAAATAAACGGACCTCATTCTCCTGACTCAGAAGGAGTCCCCGATAAGACAGCGTTGGGTAAGACGAGTACAGAGAGGCTGCTAAAACATCAGGATTTTTCTTGGCTGCCTAAACTGCACAGGACAATCGCCGATGATCTTTGCGTACGATGCACGCTAATTTGCATGTGAGCTTTCAATAGAGGACTTGATCATGCAGATAAAACGGATAAGAAAGAACATCACCGGATTATCCGAGACAAGAGGACGCCACCCATTCGACGCCGCCTATGACACCGGAGAAGACCTGTTCCTCGGAACTTGTGCTAATAGAGAAGCCGGTGGCGTCGGTGCTCTCGTGAACACGAATTTATCGACGAATATGGATTCATTCGAAGAGGTAATAACTCGAAGCAGACGTCTGCGATTGAAGAGATGCGGATCAATACCGGCTTTCACAACCTTAGTGGAGTACGCACCGACTTGAAGCTGTGAAGAATACGTCGAAGCGTTCTACATGCTCTTTGAAAAGTTCTGCGGAGAAGGCTATGCATTTTTCAAGCTCATTACTGAAGATTTTGCTGAGATCGGACCTAAAAGAAGGCCTGAAGAACACCGCATTGGGACTCATGGATTAGAAATGAACGAGCAGGATGAGCGGCTGTCAGAGTTTATCATGACCGGTAAAACTAAGATTGTTAATCGGCCGTTTGGAAGATGCCATTCTTGATAATACCGGCAAAAAATACGATCGGCTCATCCAAAATCTTCAGGTGAGCGCTATGAAGGCTGAGAGTTCGAAAGTCACCAAGAGCCGTCTGTCTCCAGAAACACTCGAGCTGATACGCCAGAGTGGAATCGCAGAAGCTAAAGATAACCGCAAACTCGTGACCGAACATGCGAAGCATTGAAAGCAGGAAATAAAAAAAGATTTTGAAAGGATAGGAGGATTGAAAGGATACTCCGACCCCCAGACGGAACAATTACAGCTACCATAAAGGAAATCCGCGTTCTCCGTCCCTTATGTGAAATAAAGGTGGATGGATTTGTCGAGAGATCTCGTTTTCGCAATTTGACATTCTATTTCGTTGGTGAAGAATCAAAGAGCACAAGATCTAGGCAGGATAAGATCTGACCACATGAAGGACCTTCTGCTATAAATACTCTGCCCCGGCTCTTCAAACGATATCTTTTGGAATGCAAAGTTTCTACTCAGTGGAAAATCAGCAAGACAGTGATATTATTTAGGAAGGTGACCTCCACGATATCGGGAACTATTATCCAATATGCTCACTATCTATCGTCTACAAACACCACTCAAATCATCCTAAGCAGCGTTTGCAGAACACTAAAGGACAGCAATGCGAGCTCGCAGGGTTTCAGGATTCAGTACTATTGGCTACATCCACACGATGACAGGGCTCATTGAAGTATCTCTAGGGTACAAGAGACTGCTCTGTCTTATTTTCATCGATTTGAAGAAGGCTTTTGACTAAGTTGAGATAGAAGCAGTCATGAAAGCCCTGGTTCATGAGTCCTCCTCAGTGTATAAATATTGTTCGCGAGCTGAATAAAAATTTCGCAACCAAGATATCACCAATCTATAACGACATTAACATCGACTTCAAAGGAGGGGTAAGGCCTAAGCATACGATTTGGCCAAAATTATTTAGACCCACCTTCGAGAACGCCATGCGATTGCTGAAATGAGACAACATGGAAGTGAAAATCGATGATTAGCAATTACACCATCTTCGCTTCCGTGATGACATCTTTCTTATAATATGAAACATTAGCCAAGCGGAACAACTGCTTGCGGACTTTGTTAAAGCCTGCGGAAAGATCGCTCTCCGAGTAAACCTCACAAAAACGATGTTCACGAGGAACTGGTCACTTCGCCAGTCACCAATCACGCACAACGGAATCAGTATCTCCGATCGTTATTAAGTATCGTTATTAAGCGAAGGTAAATGAGCAGCTTAAGAAGCTTTCAAGAGCGTCGGCGTAGTGAAGAGAAGAAAAAGCACTCGACTCCTTGCCCACCTTTTCCACTCCATGGTTCTTCCCGCCCTAAGGTATGCGTTAGAAACCTGGTCGCTGCGTAAGCAGTATGAAAAATCACTCAGCGTTATTGAACGCGCAGTCGAAAGGGCGATGCTAGGAGTATCCTGTTTCACACAAGTTAGGGACAGGATCTGAAGCTCCGACCTCTTTTAGCTATCAAAAATCAAAGATGCCATTCTGTACGCCAAACAGTCGAAGATAAGGAGTGCCGGACACGTAAAGCGTATGAATGACAACCGATGGACAGGAGCCGTTAGTAACTGGATTCCCCGCGGTATCAGACGTACAGCAGGATGACCGCCGACCCGATAACCAGGGTTCTTCACGAGAAGCCTAGAAGGAAAGTAGAGTGCTCAACGAGTCTTTAGAGCGAACAGAACCCACTGGGCTTCTCCTGCGCTCTACAGTGAAAAATGGTATACTAGTGCCGTCTGCTCGAGTAACTCGGCGATCAACGGAACTGCAAGTGACGGTAGATATAGGTGGTTTTACCTTCGTATTATTGCAAATAGTTTTGCACATTATTTAATGCAACGGATATCTGAGTCTAATGCTGTGTAAAATCCTATCAGCAAATATTTTTAGCATTAATGATGCACTTGACAAATTATTCATGATATCGTGCGCGGCAAATGGCGTGTCTTGATAACTTCATGGTTCAAACGATTTTTCCATGGTGAGTGGGTTCGTTTTTGATCGCTTTCTACAAGATTACTTTCTTCCTGATTTATTTAGTCAAACTCTAATGCGATCTCTTCCAGTTCGGTTGGATTCACGAGAGTTTCCGTCAACTGGTGAATAGAAAGTATGGCAAAGAGATTTGGTTAAAAATCGTGTAAGTTATTAACAGACTATCCAAATCTAGTACTCAACACTCGACGTTCACTTGTCAAAGGGCAGAAATTACATATTCACGCACTTTTCGTTCCGTATCTTCTTCGTACCATAAGATATTAGAACAATCTTTCTATCCCACACATATCTCCTTAATTGTGAACAATTTTATCGAAACCATGTTAAAGACCGTCTGAAGTAGTCGATAGCTAAACTTTCTACAGAACGTCTATGGTTCCATCATAAATTTCTAGACTACATATTTTTTTTTTGATAAATTGATGACCGAGATAGAGAATCTTCAGGGAGTTGGCTAAGTTCGAAGAAGGGACTGAAAGCGAAATCTCTCACTACTACACCGACGAAGAGACTATGAGACTAGTGAATTCCATGGCAAACATTATCGGTAGCGTTATCTCTTATTTCCTTTCTTTCTTTTATTCTACGTTTTGCTTAAATATTGAAGTCCAGCAGCTATATTGTGTCATGATATTATGTGCGAAGAAATAGAAGATGACATACCAGACCTCTTCAGTGTCAGTAGACTTCCACAAGGTGTTAGTATTTCAACTTTTAAGGTATTCCTGTGGAAGAGCTTTGGGAAGCTTATGGTGGTTTTCTTATTCAGTTCACCATGGAAACCGGATGGGACGAGCTATTACGTGCCATGGCAAGTGATTTGGAGGTGAGAATGGAGGCAGATATGAAATTAAGTAATCAGCTAGCGTGCTATGAGTTGGTTAAGGATGGTATCATTAGGAAAGGAAGCTGTACTTCATGTAGTTTGCTACATAAAATGTTCTTGGTGAAGTCGTTTGTGCAGCAGCGTTTTATATAAAGCTACTGATGTAATATGGGGGTGATTGCTGCTAAGATTTTATTTTATTATAAGTGGACTGGAAAACGACTTACCAGGAGAAGAACCGTTAAAATCATATCTTCGAATTTATTATTTTTGCAGCAGGTGGTTGCAAAGTACGAAAACGCGTTTTGTAGCCGAATTCGTCCACTTTTTAGATTTGTGACATCAGAACAGTGTTTAGAGGTCATCGAAAAGCGGTACTGGCTGATTTATACAGACCACAGACACTCAGCAACTAATGAGTTCCGACGATTTGCTAACATTATTTGCCTCTTTCGTTAGTTTAGCCAGTATTAAAAAAGCGAACTATTCCATATATAGGAAGAAAAGTCATGATAAGCATCCTCGAGTGCTAATTTTGCTTCGGTGAATGTTCAGAAGTTTCATCTCGGTACAACTGCTGCGGTGAACGCCATCCGTTGTCGTATATGACCCATTTTTCACTAGATTGGTCGTTTTGATGGCGAAACAGAAACTCTGAGCCGACTTCAACACAAGTTTTTACAAAGAGCCTCGATGAATTCGTCGCTTCGTCATCATCAGAACTCTTACTTGGATACTTGGATGGCTCATCTTCACTGGTTGCGCGGGCCACAGCATAATTTCCATTCCCCTGAAATTTGCTGGTTTAGCCATTGTGGTTCCCTGGAGTCCCGAGGACAACCTTGGCAAAGTCTGCACCGGCTCGACACCACCACAGGCATTCGCTGCAGAACTCTATTATACAGAAATAAGTAATCTTGCAACTCGTTGTGAAGAATGCGTAGTTTGTAATTGTTCTTCCGAAACCAGCGTAAATTGGGAGATATTTATTCATTACTTGTTTCTTGTGAAATTCCACAGTTTCTCCGGAAAGCATGCGGTATTTTAGGCGTTTTTGGATTCGCTAGACTCTTTGCACTATTTCATCGATCACGTGGTATATCAGACCAAATTGCGTGGACCATCGTTTCGATGCGAACCACAACCAGATGGCACAATTCTTCTTCATTACTACTCGAAGAGGAGCGGCCTGTATCCGATCGTTAAAGGCTTGCTCTTCCAACATTTACTTTATTGACTTGACAAAGAAAGGAAAAGGAAAAGAAAAGGGGAAAATGGAAAGAGAGCAGTGATTGAAATGCACATTGCTGTGATGAAAAGGATAGTTTAAAAGGAAAAAAAGAAAAGCAAACAGTTAAAGAGGTGAATATGTCTTGTAACGGTTATAACGAATGTACAACAGTCACTAATATTCCATGGGTTCAATGATCAAGAAACTTCGCTACTTTTTTATACTAATTCATTGAAATTGGATCCTTCTCTGTGGGAGTTTCTAAATTCTGATATGATAGAATCACTGATCACCTTGATGGGATACAAATTGTGATTACTAAAGAGAGTTTACGACAATCAAAGTGCCTTCTTGTTAGAACAATACTACAGGGAAAGATTTTGTACTCTAAATGAGTCCACAAAGTCGACGATGTTCTTTTATCAACTAGGTGTGGTACGTGAAGTTTCCCGTCGAATCTACGATACCGAAGTGATCATGAAGGTACAGGAAAGGAAACAAGAACATCTAGGTAAATTTCCATTGCTAAATCTGAAAAACACTTTACATGTTATCGGATTGCAGATAAGCGAAAAACTGCGACAGTTGTGTTCGCCTTATATTATACTTGGTTGACCTGTCTTCAGGAATCAGGCGGGCCATAGCACAGTGCCCATATCTTCCTTCGCGACCACTGTTTTTGGTGCTGCACTATTTCATAGATTCTGACCTTTGCGTGTTCCGTGTTTTCTTCTAGAAGTCATATTTCCATCGTTTTAGCGCCGTCCTGGGAAATTCTTCACATCATAGAGGCACCAATCCATAGCAGTACATTGTCGACTCTACCGTGTGATTGCGGTGATGGTGTTCAGTGAGTTGGTCTCGTTGGTTTTTTAGGAGACCACTAATACTTCACGTGTTTCCGAATTCGTATTGAGTTTCTGCTTCAATGTGACACCTGTTTTCTCTGAACTCTATAGATATACGGAGGATGTATCACCTTCATTACCTGCCCTCTAGTTGGTCGTCGAGCGAGCCAATGGAGTTTAACCAAGGGTTTCCGTTTATCTCTATCGCGAACAATCGTAACTCAATGGATCCTGTTTACCTCAATGACTTGCTGATCGTCATGTTTTCCCTCTGGTTCCGGAATTGTCGTGAAGAACTCTCACCATAGCTTTCGTGGAAGACAGGCTAATCTAGTGGAGAATATATGTGCGTTTTTTTAGGCGCTACAACGCCTAACTTTGTGGTTACCGCGGGGCTGATCTCAAACTTGAGTTAGTGATTTTTATATATAAATGGTGCAACGAAAACAGGGTAACAAGAACAAAAGTATGCAGAATTTAGGTGGATAGGATTAAAAAGTTACTTCAACACATCCCTATTACTGTACCATGAGTACCTGTACTTGAGATGAATCGAGCTTCTGATATCCAAGAAAATAGGAAATAGGGTGGATAAAGAAGAAGAACCTAGTTTCGGTTAGGTTTCGCAGTATGATATTGACTTCTGCATACCATCTATAGGCGGATGCTACTGTAGGAGGTGTTACTCAGTGGAAGCCGGTGTTTTTGCTAGTGATCAGGATTTCAAAGTTGTGAAGGCATTTTTCAATCAGCTGCGAAGCAAAAACGCTATACGGTGTTAATAAGCATTTTATAGCAAATATTGGCAAAGTACGTAGCAGTATAAAGGTAGTGATAGAGAAGGAGATATAGAACGTTCGCCGTATTGTCGTGAATGTCCTCTATAGGTACTGTCCATGCCACTGGGACTTAGCTGCCAGCTGTTGTTGTTGGGTAATTGCCATTATTAAACAACACGTATCCAGCCTGCCTGATCTTCGATATTTCGACCTACGTCGCAGTATCTTCTGACTGTAATCTTTAAAGTAAACGGAAACGTCAGTTGCCGTTTTTCAACTGTTCATTGCAAGCAGGATGTTCCTAGAAATATTCAGCAATGTGAACATGGTGTAGCCGCAGATAATCGCTTTCGCTACCACGTTACTGGATTCCAATTTTTGCACGCAGTTCTAGAGGTGGTTTGTGAAAGATTTTAGCAAGATGGTCTCGTTTTCTCAAACCATTCACTTTGCATCGTTGTTGGTGTTGTTGTATAACTGCGATATTCTTGCTGTGAAATTGTTCTGAAACAAATGAGCGATCACTACATGCTGAGTAGCGCCGCTGTGGCTGTTCCAGGATACGAAGAGGTTTCTTTCTCAACTGATTCAAAGGCTTTTGTTCAGTGAAAATAAGAGAGTGTGGTCTCTTGTACGCTACCGATCCAGGTCGTTAGTTTCTAATAAAACTTAGTGCTCATGACTTACTTCGTAGTGGCGAGGATGCAAACGTCGTCAACTTCTTTGTGCTTCTATTTTTCAAAGAACAATTCTACTGTCAGGTGTTTCAAGCCTCGTCTTCTCCTTACGGTTAATCCGATCATATCGTAAATAATCCTCTTGTTCTTCGTGATCATGTACTTAGTGGACGAATGAGATGCAAATCAGCGTGAATCATAAATGCAGATCGTCAATTCCTTCAGATTTAGGAAGCCTAGAATAAAAGAATAAAAAAGGTAAAGCTCTCGGCGTTGACCAATCTCTGAAGAATACGCCATGCATTTGGCTTCATTAAGGATCGTTTGGAGGTAATTGAATGCGTATCTGGCCTTTGCAATGACTCGCAGTGGCATACCGATGGATCGAGTCAGTGCTGCTATCCGCCCAGACAGGTCTAGTACCAATTTACCGACCCCGGAGAGATGGAAGGCTTGGTGGGCCTGGGGCGCGAAGATCGATTTCAGGTGTATTTCGCAGGGCACCTCCGACCATTGCTCTACATGTGCCCCTCAGCACCCGAAATCTAGAATACCTGTGAGATTTTAGTAGCATCGCCGTTTTCACCCCATCCAGTGCTTCCTTATCAGGGGCGCTATTGGAGGTTTTGACTATTCATAGGGCCAACTTTCTATTAATCCTAATATTAATATAATGTTTAATAAGTAAATGTTTTCTTCTTAAGGAGATACGGGGTTCTTATTAATAACAAGTAATGACCGATTAGTCCACTTCAGAACTTTGAAAGGTCGAATTGACATGCAGTCCGTACGGCCAAACACATTCGTCCTCATAACAGGTTAGAGTGAATACATAAATTATATTCGCATAATAAGGAGTTTTTCTTAAGCATTCACTCTTTTGTTCTTCGTAAGCCTTCATGTTATTTGTTGGAAGTCAGCCACGGTGAAGATCAAACATAGGTTCAGAATGTGCCTGGCTCAGGAAAAAAGGCACTAATATTACTGTCTCTTCCATGAGCGTTCTTTAAATAATAAGACCTCATCAGTGAATTAGACACCAGCGCTCTCATATTTTCGTACACAACCCTCAAAATTTAAAACAAAACCGGAATGAGAACTTTCAACCACTATCCCGAGAAAAGTTTAGTTCCAACTTCACACTGGTGCAAAAATGTGCTATGCGATAGGTCTCAAAACTATTGAAATCGAACGCTATGAGACTATCAGTTATTGACCAGGGAGAATAGTTGCTCGTCATTAGATTTTAAGGTAACGGAAAACACCTTGAAGGCACTTCTCTTTGTCATCCATGTTATGAAACAGAATTCAACAGGCAATAACGAAAACTGATTTTAAAACACATCCCACCCAATCTCAAAAGCTTCTAAGTATTCCAGGATCAACAATTTACTGTTTTCTTGGTTAGGTAATTTAAGTAATATTTGGAGCAAAAATTATTATTCTCGCACAGGAATCTAAAGCATCAGCGCGTAGAACACGTCTATCATAGATCTGGGTAGGAAGAGCAGGAATTTCAACCACAACCCTTCTCTTCGCAATCACTTGGTAACAGGCCTTTTTATTGAAATGGCTTTTAGGAATCTCTATAAGCAAACACACCCACAAGATGGATCATGCACGTTTGCATGTCTGCATAAGTAGTGAAGGTATGTGTCGAACTAGCACAACAGAAACAAGGAGTTCACTGCTTGGATCCATCTGTGTCGCACGAAAGCGGAAAGTTGTTCTTGATTTTCGTTTAACGACCTATCTGTCACATGGGTACTTGTGTAACTTGTAACCCGGACTGTGTACTGGACTGGTACTGTGCAACCCAGATTTGAGGAGTCTTCTTAAAAATGCTTTCCATGGAGGCTTCCTTAAACCGCAAACTTTAATTTCTAGGAGTGTGGTTGGCCTTTGTGTGAACCGTGTAAATGGGAATCACAATATGTGGTTCGTTCTTTTTTGAAAGTAAATTTAAGTTGAGTGTTCATGAAACATACGCTCCCAGTGGAGTTTACTAGGAGAAGTTTCCTTAACATATTAAGCTTTTCCTCAATGGTACAATATGTTTCTTTCTAACGGCTTTCTATGTTACAACATTGAAACCTGCGATGAAAAATTTGCGAAATGTTTTTTATCGAGGGTCTCTGTTTTCCGCTGAGTGATCACATCAGATCTGATTTATTTTCAAAACAGTGAAAATCTTAGGGCGCGTGTGGCGCAGTGGTCAGAGACGCCCTGCAACACGCATGTGGAATCGGTCCCTCCACCCATCGCCTACCAAGCCTTCCATCCCTCCTGGGTCGGTAAATTGGCAGCAAACTTGTCTGGGAGGATAGCAACACTGTCTCGATACAATGGTAGGCCAACGGGAATCACTGTAAAGGCCAGATATGCATTCAGTCACCTCCAAACGATACTTAATGAAGTTGAATGCATGGCGCATCCCTCAGGGATTGATCAACGCCGAGAGCTTTATACTATTTGTTCTTATCCAATTTCTCTTGTAGTTTCTGCCTGCATAGAGTGAAAATCACATTTCTGTTGTAGAGTTGTGTCCCAGCTTCACTAATGTAAGTTGCAAAAAGACTTTTCAACAATCTCAGTGGCAGTCGTGCATTTTGGTGCTTTAGTTGTGCATTTTGCTGGTTGGTTCTGGCCAAACAATCACCCCGTTAGGTTTTATGCGATCATTTTCTTGCCTTTTTCATAAACGACTTGTGGAATTTGTTGACAAGATGAATATTTTACAATTGCCAACTAGGCGGCTCTATGGACTGATAAATCACACTTCTGTCGGGCTACTGTTATGAAGCAAAGCTCGTGAAAACCACTTTATCCATACTTCAGAGGAAAAATTCTCCACTTATGAAGATGAAAACGGTCTTACAATATGTTGAGAAAAGTCAGTCATCAAAATCCTTTTTAAACTGTCACAGTTAATTTTGCATGTATATTCCATAGCAGATACTTGTCATCTGTTATTCAGACGCCTTTGTGACTGAGCATGTTGTGTTTACGATTAGCCAAGTCGAGAGTGGATTACGTCGCTCGTCGAAGGCTATCTCGACCAGGGTTGAGATGCTGGAATCGCATCCTGTTAGTTTCCAGTTATTATCGTTTCAGATCAAAATTGTTGCTTAGGATGTGTCCTATGATTTCTCGTCTCGATGGAATGAGAGTATATGTTAAGCCATTTCAGTAGAGGAAATTCAGTTTCTTGTCCTTATTTATTTTAAAATTTTGCTATGAGGAGCACAACGTTTTCTTATTTTTATCATCATTCAATAAATCGGTACATACCGCTGTTCATCTAAGTTATATTTTGGTCCATACCTCAATGAGGTACCTATTTCACCATCTCCATATTGGCTATATCTCTCTATTTCTTTGACATTGCTTTGAACAAAAACGATGAAAACAGAGTTTGTTTTTTTTCAGGGCGATTTCGAAATAAGCGCGGAGGATTTTGTCATTGCTTTTCCTTATCATATCTGCTTTGATAAGCAGTTAGTCATCGAACACGTCGGGCAGTATATTCGAAAGACTTATCCAATGGTCGGTCAACAGGAGACCAAAGTTACTGATATTCTCGAACTTGTACATCCTGAGGTCAGTGCAAAGAAACCCTAGTAATTGCTCGCTGATACGAAATGAATTTCACGATTAATTCATCAACAGAAAATTCAAGCTCAGCCAAAGTTATTTAACTGAATCCGTTAGGATATGCGGCATAAAACATTGAGCGGATGTCGTACAGGTAAAATCTTAAGCACAAATTTTCTACTTAAGTTTCAACAGGACGGAAAAAAGTGGCAAGGGAATGACATATAAACACTCGTCCCGTGTTGTTTAGTCGAAAAGTACATTGCGACTTCGCATTCATCCCATGTGTAGGATAATTCCATCATTGTGTAGAATGACGAAAGTTAGGGATACTTTAAAGTTATTAGCTGTTGACACAAAAAAAGAATGCGCTAAAATTGTGTTAACATTCCACGAGTGGTTGACACTGATTTAGAACACAATTTAAGGAAATACAAATGTTTGTCAAGAATAGCGTGCCAGCTACTAGTAAAGGATCTTAACCTCCTTCACTCAGAAGATATGAGTTTCGGCTCGCTTTTGAGGTTGTTCTAGTTGTCGGGCTTATTCTAGGCAGTATGTTGCTTCACGATCCGTAGCAAACCAGTCTAAAGCAACTATGTCGGTAATATATGGTGGATAGAGTGAGATAATGCGACAAAACTCCTCCATTTGTATACAGCTCGGTTTCGCGACGTCAGACTACGTATTTTCAAGCAGCAGTGGACAATAAGCTGTTTCTCCCGTTCGTCATCAACAGCAGTGGCGAGATTATGGACAGATGGCATGCGAGATGGTCAGCACCAGACTTTCTGGTGACTGACCTAAATTTACCTGTGCCGGCGTCTTGTTGCTGCTGAGAAGCACGAAAGCATCATAAACATATTTCTCATCTCTAGTCAGGCTTATTTTTAAACAGTCTCTTTATTGCTAAAGAACTGCACAGACCGATGAATAAATGCTGGTCAAAGACGATGGATGATAGTTGGTTAGAATGTAGCGTCTTAGGAGACATCGCTTTAAATTGAGATCCCGACGGTGATATGAACAAAGCCGAGTGCCTCCTCCACATGATGTATCGTTCTGAAGTCTACACTTTTGAACACCTCTATGCGTGATGTGCCTTCGTAAAACGTGGCTGCCTGTCTTGATGGAAGCAGATCATTGTGGATCATGTAGCTTTTTCGGCTCGACACTACAGGGAGAACCGCACCATCCGCCCGCTAAGGGCACTCTGCGCAAAAGCGGTGTTGGTCTTCCCAACGGTCGGCGGTGGAGTCAGGCTGAGCAGCTCGTCATTAAACGTAGTGATCGCTTAAATTCGTCGACTATCATTTTTGATAAGATGTGGCTTTCATTAATTTTCCTATCCCTTTTAATGTTTATTTCTATGGAGTGAAGACCAACATGCTCAAACGCCTTAAAAAGCGATTTGAACGTCAACAGGGAGTCGTAGGAAAATTATCAGTGGTTGAGTAATGGACTGATTAGACTAGGCAATTATAATCTAAAATGACAGTGCTGCCAAATAATTATCTTCAGTTATAACTCCGTCATATCTCCCTATCCAATGTTCATTAAATACCTAGTCACCTTCTACTTTATTCGTGACATCGTGAGGAATCAATGCTTCAAAAACATGGGAAAAATTGCACGTTTTCCTCAGGTTCCATTTTCGTATGAATCGATTTTGGCCTTCAAAAACAGTCTGTTTGTTTTCAAAATGAAGGATGTCGGTGATATCGTACACTCGAAGGAGGAAAACAAACCCATTCTACTGAAAGGTAACTTAACATCATTTCAACTAGTAATGTAACTGGTTATTCGAATAATACTATAGCATTTCACTTAGTAGGGCGCATGTGGCGCAATGGTGGGAGGCGCCCTGCAACAGACACGTGGAATCGATCTCCACACCCATGCCCCACCAAGCTTTCCATCCCTCTTGGATGGACTATTTGATGCCAGACTTGTCTGGGATAGTGGCAGCACTAACTCGACACATCGGTATGCCACCGCGAGTCGATGTATAGGCTAAATATTCATTCAATCATCTCCACACGATGCTTAATGAAATCGAATGCATGGCGCATCCCTCAGGGATTGATCAACGCCGAGAGGAGCTTTATCCTTTTATCCTTTACTTCACCTGCTTTCGTACTCTGAAGGCGACTTACTTTTCATATTTAAATTGAAACAATCTTAACATTATATTTATATTATAGAAGACTAGCATTTGACAAGATTTTTCGCAGCTGGCCACCACATGATTAATAATCGGCTTCTATTAGAGGAAATAAAATGACACTTGATAAAGTCTTGTTTCTTTTATCGACAACTTTTTTAAGCTGATTTTTGTTTGTTGGATATTTCTTTATTTGTAGAAAGGTATGTGATGAGAATGGAGAATAGCTTCAGTTTAGGTGCCATGGTTCTCATTGACGGTGGCAATTATATCCTTTACGTTTCCTCGGTGAACGTGGCAACAATTCGGGAGTTAATCGAAAGGAATCTTCACATAAGTGATATGCAACGTCATGACGGCACCAGAGATCTTATCATGCTCAATCAGTGCCGAATGAGTCAAGTTGAACTCAAGTACGACCTATGGTTACGGGAGATTCCCACCAAACTCCTCCTTCTATCACTGAATAACATTGAAGCTTTTGCATGCTTGTATGTTAGTATGCTCGGTGTAGTGTAGTTCTTGCACTCAGATAATTATTTTCCTTGAGTGGTCTCCATGATGCGGAAAGAATGACAGAGTTCTCTTGGCACACTTATCGATGAAGAAAGCATCGTTCGTACATTGCTCGCAGAAATCACTTGCAGGCCGATTCCTCATTCAGGGTCGCTGCAACTTGCAAATAAAAAACGAATGTGTTAAAATCTAAATATAAGTGGCGAACATCTTGATCCTCAGCTTTTAACGCATCGCAGACTATATGCATTGGTTCCAACGCGTACAGGGTCAGAAAATAGTTAATCCTTCCAAATTATCTCACTCATTGTAAGCTTTGTTAGCTAAATATGTGATCACTAGAACCTACAAACCTTTGGAAATAGATTACAAATTTCTCTTATTATATGACAGCGGGATTTAAAATTATCACAAAAGAATTTTCGCTAATACTCCGATGCTGTGCGAACAAGCAAACGAGCAGTTGAACAAGTGGTTTGAGTGCAGAAGGGCACAACGTTGTCCTTATTGGTTACGTAACAATCTGTATTCAGGAGGCTGCGCATGTTCGAAAAATTTTTAAAATTTTGAACTTGTTGTCTTGTGTCGTTTTCTTGTTCAGCAATCGCGAGGTTTTTAAACAGCATACATTTACTTCCATAAAAACACAATACAATGCAATGCTAGCTGACGTTTCGGCAGTATCGCCTTCTTCAGAGCCGCTTTTTCGTGACTTCCAATGAGGAAGTTTAGAACAGCTGATTATAGTCGCATGTGGTTGACGACTCGTTGTCTTGTATTTTGCGCACTTGTTTTTGTAGAGAGACAGCTTAGAAAAGATATATAGATTAAGAGGCTGCATATGTAAGCAGGCAGAGGTAGGGCAACAGTAGAGGTGGCGTACCGTATGAAAGCTAGCTGGTTCAATATCGCCCCGGGCGAATTATGTGCTAGCCCATCTGGCGTCGATAAAATTGTTACCAGACTTAGAAACTCAAGAAATCGTCGTTTTGTAAACCTTGGCATAAATAATCGATATATTTATTTATACGTTCACATGAACTGCTCTTGTTGAGTTGATGGGAGATTTATATAAATAGCCCTTTTCGCCATTGTTGATGCTGTTGCTGTTTTTCGTCGATGGCTGACATTTCGGAGATTTCGCCTTCCTCAGAGTCTCTTACCAGACTAGTATCGAAAGAACTGTCTGCGATCCACGGAGGATAGTGATTTCCTGTAGTGTATATTTGGGAGTGCCCTTGCATCGCTAAGGATTCAGAGAGAATCGATCAACCAGTATTGAGCTACATTCATGCGGAAGATAGAATCGTTAAGCAGCAGCCAAGAACCACACGTTAATTCGAAGGCACTTGATGGATAGAAAAATACGAACCGGAAGAATGAGATCCGAATCCGTACTTATATGTGACCTACGGTAATGCAAAAATGAGAAGTGTATTTATTACCACAGCGATAAAGCAAAGCCTCTTGTATAGGCTCGTAAAGATCTGTCGCGTGTATGATGACAAATGAGGGTGAAATATGAACATCATCTTTTTAAAACCTTTCGTTGTTCCCATCAAGAAAGCTTGCTATGAGCTGAGGCGGTTCATCTAAAATTTTCGAGCACTACAACCAAAATGCATGGTGGCAGTATGTCAGTGTTTACTCAGACAGGTGGATTTTTCGTTTACAGTGTAACACAAGTTTACTGACGTTGAATAATTGGTATAAATAGGATTTAAAAAGCGCATGTGGCGCAGTAGTCGGAGGTGCCCTGCAACGCAAATGGTATCGATTCCCGTTTCCAGGGCTCACTAAGCCTTCCGTCTCTCCAGGGTCGGCAAATTGGTACTAGACTTGTCTGAGAGGTTAACAGCACTGGCGCGATAGATCAGTAGGCCACCGCGAGTCATTGTAGAGGCCCGATATGCATTTAACCACCTCCACCTGATGAAGTCGAATGCATGGCACATCCCTCAGGGATTGATCAACACTGAGAGCTTTATTCTTTATCCTTTTGCGATATAAAGCAAAGAAGGAACAAGAGATGATGCTGGTTTATATTAGCTTATCTTCTATTTTCTTGTAAAGTCTTCTATAAAGAACAATCTTCCCTTGTGTTTCACCCATAGATTGCCTGTAAAATAGATGTTCTCGGTTAAAAAATCACTAAATTTTGCCTATCTAGAAAGTACTGCTACTAACAAATACTTCATTTGTTTATAGAATGACCTGGATTGGAAGCAGTTTTTCAAAGATTAATTTAGTCGCAAATTGGAGGAAACTACAAAAACTTTAAAAAAGATGGCGAACGAGTTGGAGATTGAGAAACAGAAAACTGATGAACTCCTGTGCGAACTGATGCCAGCTTCCATCGCTGACGCTTTGCGACAAGGAAAAACTGTAGAAGCAAGTGAGTACGACGATTACATCCAAATTATGAAAAAAACCTGGCCTTCCATCTTATAGAGGACTTTTGATGTAGACGATTGCCTAGCCTCATTTTGATCGCTGCTTCTTACAGGTGAATTTTCCGACTGTACTTTACTTTTCACGGACATCGTAACTTTTACGAATATTTGTGCTCAATGCACTCCATACGACGTGGTCACGCTACTCAACGACTTGTATTTACGATTCGATCGACTAATAGGACTAGTAAGTATCTATTAGGTGCCAAACGTTGACCGAAAGGTGACTGATGATAAGATGGCAAAGCCGGACCGATCAACAGTACCAACCATTCATTGGAAAGAACTAGTGCGAGCCATTCAGAATATCTTGTAATACTCATTAGCAAGACAAGAGCAAGAAATAGAGCTAACTGTTAAAGTTTTGCTTATCATGTATCAACTTGCATTTTTTATCCATTTTCGCAACTGTGTACTCCTGAACCACAAATTTCTTTGACTTTGCTTAAAACAAAATTACTTGCAAATGGTCCCACATAGTCCCCTGTTTTTTCAAGCTTTATAAGCGACCCTTTTAAACGCTATCCTTATATTATTCTTATGTTATCGCTTAATGTTTCGCAATATGTTTAACCTACCGGACTACAGTAATCGGATACGGACGTCTCCATATTAGAACCAAACGGCCACCATGGACGCAAGACTATTGCGCAGAAGAGAAATGAATGAAAAAATGTATTGGGGACCACACGCTAGTAAAGACGGACTATCTAAGCATTGAAGCAAAAGTAAACACCGAGGTTAATCCATGTTAGTTGAACATCCGAGACAACGCCTATCTTTTGGTGTCGACCACATTCAATGCGCCTGAGGCTCAGTACATGGCAGTTGAAGTGACTTTCAGCGGCAGAGAGTCCTAAAGGCCTTGTTCATTTATTTGCATTTATGCGATAGAGACATCTTAGCAAAAAGCAAAGAATCGCCGCGAGACCCATGTTGACGGATCGTATCGTCCCACTCCCAGGAAATGTTTTGTAACCTTTTGTGGCTAATGAACTTTCTCTAACTTTCCTCGGACAAGGCCTGGTACAACAAACTTTGGAATGAAGGCTATCGATTTAATGCAAGGGCTATTACAAAAGGTTCGTGGTGAAAAAGAAGCATGAAAAGAAAATGCATCAAACTCGGTGTAAATTGTCCAATGTCCCTTCAACGCATATGAATGTTCTTCGCAAATTTCTACTCAATTCCGAATTTCGTTCATGAAATTCTAAATATCGCTAAAATCATTCTTTTCTCATCAAACAGATTTTCTCGAAGATGGTGATTTGCATAGAGCTAACCATAAGGTTACGAAAACCTGTAACATTTCCTTATAAATTTCTAATTCAGCACGAAGTGTACAAGGTGGAAACGATCGGCGATGCATATATGGTAGTTGGAGGTGTGCCAGATCCATGTGATAATCACTCAGAGAGAGTGCTAGACGTCTCCATTGGTGAGTGATATCCAGATTAGAAGGATTGGTTGTATTATGAATATTTTGAAACATTTTGTAGGATTGCTGATGGAATCTAAATTGGTGCTGTCCCCAATTTCTTGCAAGCCAATAAAAATTCGTCTAGGAGTGCATTCCGGACCAGTTGTTGCAGGAGTTGTTGGAATGAAAATGCCACGGTATATTATTTCCTATCGTTTTCTCGTTCACTGAGATCCCTCGTGTGAGAGTAGCGCGGTGGTTTGTTGCCAAACTGCCCACGCATTTCCATGTGTCTGCCAGTGATTAATGGCAAGCGAAAATCTACTGCGGAATTACCGAAAACGCCGACAAGCTCAGGGAATGGACTCACTGTCCGTGCTACGCCGCATCAGTACCTTCAAAAAAAGCTTGAGCTACACAACAATTTTCCAACTAACCATGGCTATGGAGGTTAGAATGAAGTGGTATCGAAATGAGATGCATAGCCGGGCTTCTTCCTTACAGCAGTCTCCCAAGCGGAGAGGCAGAGCAACATTTCTATCAGGAAGTTCATCTCGAATGAACTGAGGTGAGAAATCACTGCCATGGCACCGTAATAGCAAGATGGGAAATCTCCCTCCGACATTTCACCGTAGCAACAACTTTGATACTTTAGCTAGGTTACATCGGAACTACGGAGTAAACAACAAATAGCTTCTCAATCATTAATAAACCAGAGTCAGTACCCCACAATGTCCACTCCTGTATCGCCTACATGTAGTGTCATGCGAAGAAACCACAAGATGTCTCAGGTTATAGGAGACTTAACTAGAACTAGATCGAAACAACCGTAGTGATTGGTACAACTTGCAGACATAGACATTGTCATAAACAGAATGCGCCGTATATTTAACGTATTCATAGTTCCATCATTCCATCATTCGTTTTTTTTTGATGAGCTTACACGAGGTTGATAGTGATATTGATAATGATACTCCAGCAAAGCCTCAGAATGTACCGAAAATCGCAGCTCTGTAAAATTAATTTTCGACATTTCTAGAGACTATAAAAATACAATACATAATGATACAAATAGAATACAATACATACTGAATATTGAATACATATTGATTAGTGATACCGAGGTTCGAGGAAAGTGGTTTCGAAATATTACTACACTTTGTGCTAGCTGATAATAACACCGACTTATGCAGGTTTGATTATCCGGGAAAAACAAGTTATTACCGCACTATAACCGGACAATCACAGCTATCCACCATCAGCAACCTGCATAAAAGGGCATCACTGAGTGAGAATGCCTCATTCGAGGAAATGGTTCACTGAGGAGAAGACCTGACTCGACACGAAGGCGAAGCTGCCATGTCGAGACGAATAACAAGAGGGGCCCTTGGCTCGGATCATCGGCTCTGAGGAAGACGAAGACGTCGTAACGTTAGCCGAAAATAAATATCATTATCAACCACGTGTAAGCTCATCAAGAAAAGAATACATATTGATTAGCGATACCGAGGTTCAAGGAAAGTCGGTTTCGAAATATTAAAACGATCAGTCTGCCGGAAATACCATGAGCTTCTTCTTCTAGCCTCTGCCGACGAAAAAGCGTTTGACAGCGTGAAAACGAACAAAATTTGACGGTTTTTTAAATTTTATTTTATATGGCCCGCCTTCATGTTTACCGTCCGGATCCCAGCACTTCTCACAATCGATTCGTTTCCTCGCACCCAGTGTCCACGAAGATCTTCTAAATTTTACGTGTGGCTTCGCTTGCTGCTTGAGGATTTTCGTTTCGTTATGAATGTCGTAGAATGCTGGCTGAGCAATTCTCCCTAGAGTCCTGAGATAGCCAGGCTGGAGCGTTTCCAATTGGATTTCAGAGAGTGATTTTTCTTCCAAGACAAGTAGGGCACCAATTTCCTGACCTCAAGAGGATGCGAGGCTTGGATGGCCCGGGGCGGAATCGAACTAGCACCGTGCTCGTCATGATGGACATCATTATCACTGTGGTGTCCCCGCTCGCTTGAATACTCCTCGCAAATACAGAAAGTATGTGAGTTGTATTACATTTGCTTTGCAAATAGCATCGTTGTGGTTGTATTTCATATAATACCTTAGCGTGAAAAAATAATGGGCAGTGGATAAAAGTTTGTGCTCGATTTAAATAGAGCGATGACAACGCTGCAAAGAAAAACATAGCAAAGATTTCAGAGAAACTACCGATCAACAGCACCAAAACTGCACTTCCAAAAACAGCTAATACGAAGCTTGATAGCTCAATATGGGCAAATATTTTTGCTCGCTGGAGAGACTGTCTGAGTGTTGTGTGCTGGAACATAAGTGTAGCGCTCAACATCCGTAAGGACCACGCTGTCAGAATATTTATAGAATAAATTTATCGTTTTCTCTCTCAGCAATGGCGAGGTTGTTAACAGCATACGTTTACTTCCATACAATAACACACATACAACACAATCGTAGCCGACGTTTCGGCAGTATCGGCTTCTTCAAAGCCATTTTTACGTGCCTTCCACTGAGAAAGGCATATGGTTGACGACTACAACGACTATTTATACAATACTTTGTCCCCTATGGAAATATGTGTCGAGGACCAAACGTGGATTGTTGGACGTGTGTGAGAAGTGCTGACGATAACTGGGCGAGGAGAAGACTGAAGTGGAAGCCAGGAAATTAGATGTGTCCATTAGAACGAGGGCATACGTTTTCATAATCTCCGACACCCACGCTTTTTAAAGAAATTCAGGAATTATGGAATTATATTTGTACACGTCGTATAGAAGATAAGCAAACATACATGAACGAAGTATTATACGTGTGCCATTAGGGTGAATGTTATTGCTGTTATGCGTATTATTTTCCACATTCCATTATTGTTTCTATTATTCGAACATTCGGGATAGCCTTACAAGCTCATTAGGAGGTCACCCTTATACAAAAGTTTTCGTTGTCTTCGAGTTCCTCAAGTAAGGGGACCACAAGGCAACTCTTGCAGGCGACATTGATGATTAAATCCTTTACTGATAGGGATATCCATAAGCTGGGCAACAAAAATTGTTTGACATCTTTCTATTTCATAACGAGCGAAAACAAGTATTGTATGGATAGGCAGATTTTGATCCTCTTTATCGCATTCTAGTAATGCATTTCTCGGCTTTAGTTATTGCTTGTTCGGAGATTCTGTGAATGTGGCGAACAAAATGGAGGCATGTGGTGTGCCAGTGAAGATCCACGTCTCCGAATCCGCAAGAGTTAATGCCCTGCGAACAAATCCGAGCTTCATTTTCGTAGATAGGGGAATGACAGAGATTAAGGTAAGTAAATTTCGTAGCAAAGCTGCCAAAATAGTAATAACACCTTTTCTACATTGTTGGTGTACTCTCTTTCCATTAACTGGCAAGTGACCCGAGCAGTCGGCAGCAACTACTTGTCATTACCTGGTGCAAGAGTTGCACCATGGGTTCTTCTTGGTTTAGGAAGCTGAAGAATGTCAAATTTTTCTTAGCATCTTCATAAGAAGTTTTGACACCTTATTAGTGACCATAGTATTATAAGGCCCACGTGAACTAACATGCGACCCACTCATTATGGGATGCCGCCGGACATTATCATTATATATCCACCATCAGCATCGTGTATAAAAGGGCATCACTAAGTGAGGATGCCTCATTCGAGAAGATGGATCACTGAGGAAGACCTGGCTCGACACGAAGGCGATGCTGCAACGTCGAGACGAACAACAATCATGGACCATCGACTCGGATCATCGGCTCTGAGGAAGACGAAGACGTCGAAACGTTAGCCGAAAATAAATATATTTATCAACCTCGTGCAAGCTTATCAAGAAAGAATGCATATTGATTAGTCACACCGAGGTTCAGGGAAAGTCGGTTTCGAAACATAATCGGGTTGTTAGTTATTAAACATGGTTGATGTTCATGAGCAAACTCGGGGCTTCGCCAACTCCTTCAGTTTGGCATTTCTTGAGAAACGGTGCTACTGCTTATTATGAAAGGCACTTAGTGGACAGCGTCTTCTCGTCTCGGCTCATCGGATGGATGCTGTGTTTGTTTTCATAGAGTGTACTATATTTCCAATGGAGGATTAACGCATCGTTATACTTAATTATAAACACTGATTGTCGTCGTACTCGTTCGAGCGCGCATATGAAGGGAAATGATACGCACATACATGAAAATGTACAAGTGCATTCAGAACATATAAGCTGGTCAAGAATGGCAACGATAGCGAGCGTATGTTTCGAATAACCTTCGTCTCATCGCAAGAAGAAGGCTACTTTTGGTGCGGCCCCATTCACCACTTGCGTAAATGTTACACGCAGCTTGGCAAGTGACTGCATGAGCAGCGTTAATGAAGGCAATCAGTTCTGTAGTTAAAATAAAACGAAGTAGTTCATGTTAAGAATCATATCGCAAGCACAGTTCGAGTAGAAAAAGCTCACAAAGGATAGGAATTTCACGCAAACGGAATTTTAAATTAGTGCGAGAATTTCAGGGTAAAGGATTAATGTACACGTATTTTTTGGAGAAGAACGAAAGGAAAAGTGTCTGGGAACTGTGCGCTCGACCTCGGTGTAAGTGTTCTTTTACTACATATAGAGTTGCCACGACGGCTCCAATGGCCTTCAGTAATTTTCCTCCTAAGATAGGCTTCCCAATTCATAACTGATAGATAGCTCATAGTTGAAAAGAAATATGCAGCTGGTGACCAAACAATTGACGGATATTTGGAACTACATGATGCATCCATCTACGAAGATGGCCTTGGGAATGCAACAAATGGTAGAGACAGTGGAAAGGTGAGTTGCATTCATTTATACTTCACTCATATTTTTAAAGAGCACCTATTTTCGTTTTTGAAGGGAAACAAAACGAATCCACGCAACCATCATGTTCACTCTCCTACTTGTACCGTAGTATGAAGGAACACATTCTTTGTAAACAATGTGATTTTATTGCAGCATGGTAAATTCGAATTTATGAAGTAAAGTGTAGCTAGGTGAATTTTTTTTGACCTATCGTGCAATGATGTTAAAACTTCGGAATGCCCTGGATTCTCGAAGTGCTACTTGTTGCAACAAGAAAATTGATTGAATAGATAAGCTGAGGCTCATTTATCATTGGATACTGAGCGGTATTCGCTGTGGTTCGATGTTTTACATGCTAGAAGGCGATGTAGACAACACTCTAATGTGTTGTGCATTGCTCCTACAGCATATCTGGACAAGTCCTTCAGAACCACAAAGGTACCCGCTAGTGGCAAAGTTAGCGAGTCGAGCTGACGAATGTTAACACACACATTGAGAATTCCGTGTAAAATGAGAGGTGAAATAGAGTATCGGTAGATCTCTAATGGATGTATTTCTTCAAAGAGTACCCATGAGATAATGATGGGAACATAATGAATTGCAATGTTTGAGAGATTACAGAACTTCATGTTGGATTTCAGGCACGGTGCAACGTTTTTAATTACGTACTATGTTACTGGAACCGCTCAAATGAAGCCCAAAATATTTACTACTCACGGTCTTGTTAGTTTTCATTTTCAACACAGTGAATAGGTGATACATGAGAAAAACACGTACATACGAATGTTATTTTGCAAAATTCATCAAGCCCAAAAAGCAGTAGGGAAGAGCGAAAATGTGGAAGCCCTGGCAGCCCTGCAAATGGCGTCACAATTTCCTCCTGCAGTGGCGTAAGAACTGCAGGAAAAGAATGGTATATCAGGCAACATGAGCAATTTTCCACCACCCACGTCAAAATGTCGTAAGTATTTTTCGGATAATAGCTCAAAATTACAATATAACTGCTAATGACAGTAGCTCACTGGCAGCTTGGCTTTCTTAAGTTACTTCAACACTATCGTTAGTAGAAAGCCAGTACAGGGCCCAACAGGTTTCAACAGCTAAATGATGTGGGTAACCAGTGCTGTGAAAATGCTTTTTGTCTCTTAGAAAAGATTTGTAATACTAAACTAAAAAATTAAAACGGTTTGTATTATTTGATTAGCTGAATATCCCATTGCGTTTCTTGGATTCGTTAGCAATTAGGAAAAGTTGACCTAGCAGTGAGATCGCGCTATCGTACTTCGCTCACCGGGATATGTTAGATTTCGAATTTGAACAGCATTCTAGAAACAATCGATATATTATTCACAACTAATGTATTCCTTAGAAGTAGAAAATCCTTTTGCGACGGCGTGACACTGGGTGGCAGTAGACATGCGGATTGAAAGATGCACTGTCCGAAATGTACAGCAACGCACATGTTAAGTGAAATGTGCATAGTCTTGAAATGGCTAACCGCTTTGACGCTGTTCTAATATAATGTTCTAATTATAAAAAATTCCGACCGAAAGGAGCGGTTGATTTTATCGACAAAACAACAAGAATCGTAAAGTTCTCTAGTATACACTAAAGAATTCGCTCAGCCACGGGAAGCGCCGTGGTAGTGGTTTCGTTCAATATGGCCAATGAGCTGTTTCGAAATTGTTCTGGGCAAATCAAATCCCTATCCCTCAAATGTCAAAAGGTCTGTACCCAATCCGTAGCGGTTGGCGACCTCACTGAATAATTTGCTCAACCAGCATTCAAAGAAGTCTCAAAGTTTTTTAAGCAGCAGTCGAACCTACTTGCATGTCCGAAGACTTTCGTGGAATACGAGTAGACGAATCCAATGCAAGTAGTCGTTCGAGTCACTATGAATAGGATAGCAATCGGCACACGTAACGATTCGAGTGGTTGACATGTGCTATATAGGCTTTATTTCCTTTCAAGTGGTTTTATTTTGGCGTGTAAAGCGTATTCGCTACACTTTTTCTAATCATTTGATAGCTCATCGAAAGCACAGCAATGTAGAAGAAGTCGGGCCAGAACAGCCATTCTCTTCATTGATGATTTACAGCACACAAGTATCCGGAGAAGCTTAATGAGTGGTAACTTAGGTAAAAATTAACTGTTATTTCATTTTAAACCTAGTGATGAATGAATTAATACATAACGCACGTGCAGTTCCTTACTCCCTAGTTCCCTACTGCTCGAGGCGAAGCACCATTGTCGGTCTTTATAGACTTGCTGGTTTTTGACAACAAACGGTAACCTTTGATAATTAGAGAATTTGAGGCGTCGTTTACAGTTAATGCTTGTAAAAGAGACTTCACTTCACTGCTTTGTGAGTATGATGACCATGTATGCCGTTATTTACTAAGTGTTACTACGATCCATCACACCATCACATTTCCGTCAGGCTTTGGAAATGTTTTGCAGCCATGTATACATCGGTATTCTTTATACCCGCACATTCTAACCGATAACTCTGTTTCATCACAATGATTAAAAATTGAAACAAAATTCGTCAAATTACCGGTCAATGAATTCGTTCTAGAGGAAGATTTTGTATATTCCTTACTTGATACTTGAACGGCTAGTCCTCACTGCTCGTGCGAACCCCAGCATAATCACCATTTTTCGGAGATTTGCTGGTTAAGCCATTGTGGTTCCTTGGAATCTCGAGGTCAACCTGGCCAAAGTCAGCCCAGGTCTTCACCACCGCGGGCAGTCGCAGCCCTTGTGGATCAGAGGGAGATTTGCCACCATGTGAATTTGATACCAGGACGGTGGTGGATTCTGGTATTAGTTTATTCCTACCTAGGCTTCCTGATCGAAACGCCAGTCTGCCAGAGGGATGAACTTTGGACAAATTTCTGCATTGCTGCTAAGCCTTTCCTCTGTTTTTACCTGATTTTGCTGAGTGCAATCGTTTGGTAACGATTAGAAGATATTTGTGCGAGTACTCTGTCCGAGTGAAGGAATGGTGAAATTTTCCACATTAGAAAAAAAAACTTTTGCAAGTGACTAGTTTAAACATCGCTGATCTATAAATCTTATTTAGTGTAATATTTTTGTAAATCTTTTTTACAATGTATGTCTTGTATTTCATTTTCGTCGTGTTCTTAGTAGGGAAACCCTTTTCATGAACAGTTAGAAAAGTGTGATGACCATGGCCACCGCTTGAACATTCACACGGTTGTTTCGTTGAATAGTCACGATTTTCCAGACTTCGAATACTTTGATTTCAGAATAAAATTCACAATCCGGCATCTAATGATTGATTGAATAATTCCAAATTGTCTATATCTATAAAGGGTGGTTGTAAATCGGATAAGTTAACTAGACTAGGAGAGTTAAGCAAACCAAATTTTGCGATTTGATAATGACATTCGTATTTCCTTCGCAGAGCACTGATAAAGTAAGTAAAGTTCACGACTTTGGAAAATGCGGCACATCGAATTGTTTTGAATCAACCTGTGAATTAAAAAACACCTGATGCGAACGAGAGCAGTTAGGTATAAATGGGTGTTTAGTAAAAATCACGTATGAAACGAAGCTGGGATGACAAGTATACTCTAACCTTGGAAAGAACCTCCTCTTATTATCACGTGCTTCTCATGCTAGTTTTAAAACGTCCCATGCATATTATTGCCAGCTAATGTACTAAGTACCCACTTCAGCTCACATTCCTGCCGAAGAATATCGATCACTCAGCATCGATCGATTGGCATGCCCGTGGCCACTCTGCGTCCTTTCTCATAGGCCGTATCCGCCACGAGAGTGGTTGGGAGACATGCGGCACCGTAAGTGTGACTGACTCTTTTCCCGCTCATTCCACAGACACCGTGTAGATACTTCTAATGATTGGTCAACTCACTCTACCAGCGCCTCGTGTGCTCGAATCGGAGTGTAGCTCTCACTGTATTTGTCAGATGTGTCACTTGTGCTTCGTCACACTTTATGAATCTATTGCTCATACTTTACCCTTGCCGCTAGTGTAACTGCCAACCTATACTAAATGTTATCGTCGCGTCAATACTCAAGGTCTAACTACCCAAGTTTTGGTAAACAACTTTAAACGCAATAAAACTGGCGGATCAGAAGAGGAGGAGCATATAAGCATGTACTACACATGACTAGCCAGCACAACATGCATCTGTTCTATATAACCATATATCACATATTGAGAAAATCCTTGAATTCTTTCATTGGATTCTTCCCACCATCCCTAATCGACGAAGAGCTTCAAATTTTTACGCGAATTCGATTGTTGCTTCAGGATTTCGGCCTTTTTTATGAATATCTTTAAACAGTGGTCGAGTCGATTCGCCGTGCAACCCTGGGATAGCCGTACCAAGACGTTCGCTGGTTTTCAGTATAGATAGCTGCCAACATGCGCGCTAACTGATATGTTCGGCGTAGTGTGCCGTTGGGCCGTAGTTACGAAATCTTCGTCGTAGCCGAACTGTGACTTGCAGCTGAAGTCAATCGTCGAGTCGGGTCTATAATTTTGCTAAGCTGTCCAACTATCCATTTGAAAACCCCGATATAGTAAACTTTCGCCAAGATTTTGTCCGGTGAGCTCCCAAGGTTATTTTTCTTTTACCAGAAAGGCAAAAAAGTTGGCTATAGACCTGTGGGTGCAATATTCTTTATGGTTCGTGTGCTATTGTTATGCTAAGAGGGTACAAATGGAGTTCCCTAGTATGTGCTTTAACTGCTCGCTAAATAACGAAACTACAAGTTATAGGTGAAATGAAATGTAAAAAACTTCAAATATTTGCTTCCATTTTTTATCTTAAACCACTACGTATTCAAGTAATTTTCTTCGTATTTTTGTTGAGCAAACGCGAGGTGTTATTATTCTTTATTCACGATTAAGCTGACGTTTCGGCGGATTTCGCCTTCCTCAGAGCCTGGAAAGGTCAAGTTGACAGCAATCTACTCTGCCAGATGCCTCCATAACCAAACAAAGAAACTCCAAACCAAGATTTCAATCACTTTGAACACAGCTTTGCACACTCACCGTTTCCTATGAGGTTTCCACTAAGTATGTCACATAGAGACCAACCGCACAGAAATCACATGAA